AGAGGGGAGGCGGGAGGGGGGATTGGTTAGCCCGGTGATGGGAATTAAGGAGGGCACGTACTGCATGGAGCACTGGGTGTTATACGAAAACAATGGATCGTGGATCACTACATCAAAAACTAATGATGTATTGTATGGTGACTAACATAATAAAATTTAAAAAAAAAAAAAAAGATGCTTCCCCTTTTTTTCACCCCATGTAAGATTTTTCAAATCATGTTCCTCGGGAACATTATCAAGCTATTATTAGGTGTTGATGACAAAAAAATTCTGTGGTATGGAAAGTTAGGTAAACAAAATTAAATAGACTTATTTATTCCAGAACTTTTCAGAAACTTTGATAGTATCATTTGGCTTGTAAAGGAACATTTTAGGGTTTGGAAGAGTACGTAGATTTGCATAAGTTACATAGAAGTATAAAATTACTGCTCAGAAACATCTTAGAGACCAGTATTTTACAGGATGCACTTTGATAAATACTATGCCTGTCCATAGCAGGGTAAAAGTACTCACAGCTGATGTCTGAGAAGTCTATGGATACAGATGCAAGACTGAAAATATTATGACCAACCAGACACAGCCACATTGTGAGTACTGAATCTGTTGCCTTTAGAAGTGAAACATCTAAAATATTAGGCAGACTATGAATTAAAAATGAGATCAAATAAAAACTGTTAATGGACTACTTATACTTAGTACAGCTCTTTCTCCCTATGGGAAAATGACTTTATAATATTGTATGATAGGTTAAGTATGAAGTTTCTAGAACATAGTGGTCGTAAATTACTTGCCCCATAAATGGAAAAATGAAATTCACTAAGTTATCAGTAATCACTCAACAGCTCTTCTATCACTAGGGAACTTAAGTTGCTTGATTTCTAAAATAAAAAGAAAGGAACATACACAGAGATACTAAAAATAAGACCATTGAGCAAGCACTTTTTAAAGTAATAAGAATACATCACTACTAAATAAATTCAACAAAAAGGTTTGTTAATATTTTATTAGTATTTTCTAATGGACAGAACATAACGCAAACCAAATAAAAATTTTAATCTTCTTTTTAGTTCAATAAAAATAACTGACATTCTGATTGTTGTTTCTTCTTTGTTAAAGAAGGAAAGTATTGATAGAATAGTTAGGCACACAGTTGACATTTACTGTACAATGTTATGCACAAATTATCTTTTAACAACTATAATCCTAAGATGTGCTCTTTATATTTTTCCCTTGTAATACAGGAGCCATGCTCCTATAAGCAAAATTTACTAGTAACAAAAGAATTTTACAAGGAGTGACAAAAAAGACTTTTAAAACAAGTCCTTAAATAAAAGGATGCAGCAACAACGGAATGTAAGTTGTTGGGTTAAGAAGACAGTTTAAACTAGATCTCAAAACATTAAAAATTCATTTATTTTACAATTACTCAAATACACATGCATTAAATGAAAATATTGCACAAAATTAAAATTTTAGATTGTGAAATTTATATTGTTCTTAATTTTTTAAAAATTGATACACTTTCTGGTAGCACTTAACTGTTTGATTCTTTCCAAACACCAGCAGCACAAACTTAAGATGAGCCAACAGAAATATTCAAGAAAGTTTTTAATTTTTTTTAAAAAAAAGTTAAGGCTAACCAAGTGCATCCATTGGTCAATGGCACAATTTTTTCAGCAACTATTCAGAACACCCTAATCAGAGGAAATGCCCAGCTAAGCGCTATATTTAAATCATACAATCAATTTTTAGGTGAATCAACTGTTAGTAGTGATGGTTTCTAAATAGTTTGTTACCTGAAAAAATCAGAAAACCCAAAAGAGGATGATTAATTTTGAAGGTTCTCGCCTAAAGGCACCACTGACTTAAAAACACATTCAAAAAATCAAATATCAGAAGACTTAAAGCCTCTTCAGGTATATATTTATATATGCAATAAATGCATTAAATGTAATAACTTTATTAAACATAGTACACTGTACTTGACTTATGAATTAAATATTTTACACACAGCTTGACCAAGTCATTCAAAAAGTATCTCTAATTTTAGCATGACCACAGCTCTCTGATGTAAAACATAGATGTGCATAGAGAAGACGCACAACCGTTTACATAAACTACCATTTGACATTTCTGCTTTTGAAATATAAACTCTTGAAACAAAAATTATTTAAAAAACCCATTTACTCATATAGTTTTTGGTATGATTGCAGTTACCTTGCAGGGCTCTGTTATGAAAAGTTGCAATTTTGCAGGACCTTTCTTTCTTTCCCTGGTTGATGGCCAGCATTCCTCACATTATCTGGAAATGCTTTTCATATGTACACACTAGGCTCTTAAATGAATTCTTGTTTACTCTTAGACTTATTTATGTCAAAAATATACTTGAAATGGGCAAGGGTATATTTGAGAATCATTGCACTTATGGCCATGCTGATGCTTCCTACAGACATGTTTCACAAATCCTCACCTTTAAAGCCTGGGGCATGGGGGGTGGGGGGGACCACGGCAGGGAAACACACTGGGAAGAAAAAGTATTATTTCTTCCGCCAGAGTCAATAAGGATCTTTTCTCATTTGCAAGTTGCAACGAAAGGGGTTTCATTTATGTAATTCTTTAGACATGCAATACATGCTGAATATATGCATACTGTAAGTATGCACAACAGCGTTATTAATAAATATGATTATTATTATTATAAAGCTTTAAAGGAAGGCTTTAATCTGTTATTAGGCTTCACTTTGTAAGTAGAATCTCGGTGAAAACAAGACAATAACATCTTGTTTCCATCTTAAAGCTCCCAAATAACTGGGATACCGAAACTTTGTCCCTTTATCTTAAGCACCCAGACGTTCTTTTAATACCAGGATCTTGGCTCAGTGGTCTGATAAGTAGCTTCACTATTTTAAGGTTGTAGTGTTAAATATTTTTAAAACAAAAAATGCTGACAAATCCAAACCCTTAGTCAGTGTATTTAAAACTATGCAGAAATCCTGCATACAAGGGATATGAAGACTTCCAAGATGGACAAACGGAGAAAGAGAAAACTATAAGAAATGCAGAGGCTCCAGAACTGGAAAAGGTAATTTGTTGTTGTTGGTATAAAATTATTTCAGGGACTTAAATGTATACACCCAGGGGTTTTGCCAACTTGCTTTATTTAGTAGAATTTTACATTATGCAAAATATAAATAAAAGCATATTTTAAAAAATACTATAGTTCTGTTTTCATTATTTATTTTTATATATATATACACAGTAATAGAATTAGGAATTTGTCTGTTTACATATGACTAAAAGCTCATTTAAACCTTTGATTTGCTACTTTTGCAATCACCTAAGGTATGTCTAGATCACACAATTTAAAATGATCACATTGTAACTTTCAATGGTGCTGTTCTTTTTTTAATTTCCATGTTTTTAAAATAACAGAATGTATTTGGCAGTTCTTTCGAGATTATACTCCCTATTGTGTAATCAGTCATCTCTTAAAGAAAACTGTAATAATTTTGAAACTGAACCGAGAGCGCCACTATATGCTTCTTTTTGCACGCAGAACACCAAAAGAAAACTTATGATTGAGTACCATAAGAGCAAAACAGAGCCCCAAAGCACGTAAGAATCAATTAAAATTTGTTTTATACCAATAATAACAAATCCAATCAAATTCTGTTTTTGATTGGTTTTATTTTATGTCACAAAACTGTAATTAGGGTATAAGGTTACTTCATACTTTAAGGGCATCCTGTCACTTTCCCCTGACCTGAAGCAGATGTTCCAAAGATCATTCACCTGGCTAATCCACATTATATCAAAATTCTGATAAAGATCTATAAAATTATTATGCAAAAACAAATCCCTCCAAATCATACATTGCTCAGTCTCCCACGGTTAAACAAATTAGCCAGTTTATCTGTGAACCATTGTTTTGTGCTTTCCTCAGCTCTCACGTATACATTCTGGCACTTTGTCATTGCTGGAGAATGCTGATTAGTTTGAAATGGAAGAGACCAATGTCATTCTTGCTTGAGAATGGGGCAGTATCCTCTCAATGTTGCAAAAGTATGCACCAAATCATTTAAGACACAGAAATCTCTCTTGGTAGTGGCTGGATTATGGACGAGGATGAGAAGAACCACAGTCTTATGGATGTATTAATAATCTATTTTGAGACACTAAAAGACTGGTGCGACATGACAGTATATGAGTTAAGCCCCAGAAGATCTGTCCATATTATTAGTCCTGGACAAAATGAACACCAGCTTCAGAGATTGGAGTGTCACCTCTTCTGTAAAGAAGGCGCTTGAGTAGTTTGAAGTTTCTGTTTATATTTCTGTATCTGCTTTGATCGTGAATGCAGTTTGTTGAAAAGTTCACGAAATTTATACTGTGGAAATAAGGTTTCCAAAAAGCCTTCCAAGAAGACATAAACCATTCTCCTATTTAACTGGTTGTGCTGAAACATTTCAAAAACACGAAGAATACCTTTCCGTGTTGTTTCAGCCCCGATAATGTGCTTCAGTTCATCTAAATGAAGAGTGGACAAAAAAACATCATTCATTACTCATATAAAGGAAACACAAGGCCTAAACTATCCTCTGAGTTTAAAGTATGTGAAGTACACAGCAGGGTAATAAATAGGAGATCTTCAGTTCATGTGTTTCAGCTATGTATTCTATATTCTAACTGAGATTAAAATTTACACATGTCTTCATGCATCCATCCACTTATGTAAGAACAGATACTGGGGATGACAAAACACACAAAAAAGAAGCAGGGTCTAGACTGTGAAACCCCAAATTAGAGTTACAATCCTGTCCCTAAATACCTGTATGATATTTACCCATCCTGAGTTTGTTTCCTTATCTGTAAAATGGGGATTTATAATAACAACCAAATCCTTATAACTAAGAATTTGGAGAGCTTTAACGAAACAATGTGAAAAGTGATCTGCAAAGGCTAAAACACTATACAAATAGTCTTACTGTGTCTAACGCACAGTGAGAAATACTGTAAGGGAATGGTGTATGAAAGCTGATTAACGATCTCAAAAAGCTTGCAAGTATACTTTATACCCCAAGTATAAAGATGTTTACAGAGGGGAGAATTCCACATGGTATATAATCAAGAAAGGTTCCCTTCAAGGAAGTGACGAATGAAGGAGACTTTGCTACCCGAGCAGGAGTTTGACAGGCACAAACAGATGATGGATTAGCTTTGGGGGAGAGAACAACGAGCAAATGAGAGCTAAGTGGGAAAAACAAGGCAGGTTCAAAAAGTGGGGGCACTACAGTTTGGCTAAATTTTAAGATTCTTTTAAAAGAAAGCGGAGAGAAGAATGGGAACAAGTGCTATGGCTATCAGAGTGAGCCAAGTGTGGAGTTTACTCCCAGGCAACATGAAGTTATTACAGATAGTTGAATAGGGGAACATGTATGACTACCCTTAATTATTTATAATCAGGGCCTCAAGAGCAGTAAATACTATTTAACTGCTTTCAAAAAAAAACCATGCAACTTCCAGAAGGTATGTTTCTACCTAGGAGTACAGGGTAATTTAAAGCAAACGGCTTATGAATTTACCAATAAAAACAAGACAGGGATTATGTGTATATAAACACATACCTTTATATTTAGCCTCACTTCCTTCAAGTCTTCACCCAAGTGTCCTCTTCTCACACAGCTGCCCCCACCCAGCACTTCCCTCTTCCTGTACTACTGGTCTCGTCAGCACTTACCACTAGCTAACATACTGGCCTTTATTTATTTGTCTGCCTTCTGTCTGTGGTTCCCTAATAGAGTGTAACCTCCAAGAAGGCAAAGATTAGTGCAAAGAAAGTGTCTGGCACATGAAACACTCCCAAGAAATACTTACTGGACAAATGCATTAGTTTCTTTTGGCTATATAAATCAGTCTACAGCACAATCTGGTTTATGCTAACAGTATATTAAATAGTATCTAATCCTAAATTGTCATCTATTGTTCTAAAATGTTATTTCTGTAATTTGCTTTTTTTCTCCAAACGCAATAGTATAGTCTGTAGGACAGAATTAATAGCCATGAGGCAAATTTCCAACTTAACTGACAGAAGAGAGATTTTAAAATCTATGATGAAAATGAACTATATAGTTCTAAGTTAAAGAAAAACAAAGTTACAGAAAAAGAAATAGATATTACATGATGTTAATGAACTTCATAAATACTCCTTTTCCACTCTATATTCATTATCAAAATGTGGAGAAGAGATATCTATATTCAAAGATATTCATAATTAAAGAAGGGACCAAACAACCACCCAGCCACACAAAATTGCTTTTCATATTATAGAGGCCCTCTTATTGAGAGAAGTCAAAAGGGGGACAAAGTGAGTCTAAGACAGCAGTGTTCTAAAGAAGTAATTCAAATTAGACCAAAAGAATGCCACTAAGTATATTTTCTTCGGAATCATGTTTTAATTGAGATTAATAATGTTTCTACATAAAGGGATTCTTTGAAAGAATATGTTCTCTGAAGTAGAACAGATATACTTCCTGAAAACCTCACACTTCATGTTCTTTTATTCATGTGTCACATATTTTGTCATCAACTTTATTCTCAAAATGGCTCAAGGTAGCAAATGACATGGTTTTTTAAAAGCACCACTTTTTTCTCATGATCAAAAGCAGTGGCTTTCAAGTCGCTCAGCATGGAGCAGAAGCCCAACAGTCACTTCCTAGCTTGAAACCTGGAGTGGCTTACTTAACCTCTTTGAGCTTCTATTTGCTCACATATAAAGCTGTGATGTTAACAGTGCCTACTTCTTAATACTGTTATGAGAGTTAGCGAAGAATATATGAGAAATGCACAGCAACAGTGCCTACCTAATTCATGGTAAGCCATTAAATGGTAGTTACGAAAATCAATAGGCAGCTAACCCAGCATGCTCGGTGCCAAAAATTCAGAAGAACTACAAATTAGTAAGATTTTTACCAAATCTGTTCACTTACCTGGCATAATTGAAAGTAATTTAGTTTTTCCTGCAACTCTTGTTCTCATTCGAATAGCTTTATCTCTGCATGGAACAGTCTCTGCTAAAATGCCATTTGGCCAAAAGGCATCTCTATTTAAAAAAATTAAATACATTTTGTAAAAATTTTCATTTTCTAATGATATAAATCAGTAAAATTATCCCAATTTTCTACAGAAAACACAAATATAAGTAGAAAGTGGAAACACTTCTGAAATTTTATAGAGGTATGACATTCAAAAAATAGTAACTAAGAGCAGGGTTCAATTTTAGGTGTAAAAGGATATACATAAGAGAAGTAACAGATGAATTCTGCCCTGGCATAACTTATAAACACTAACAAATGAAAAAGACAGTAAAATGGAATATACAGGTGACTACATCACAGCCATTTAAACTCAAAGTAGGCCTCTGATCTCAATGAGATTGAACATCTGATCCAACTACAACCCCACAATATCTTGAATTTGGATACCTTATAGTTAATCTCCCTCAGTTCCCTTATAAGTAAGCCAATACAAAACTAATGCTGCATCCACACCTTACAGTTAGACTGATTACAACATTCCTTTCACATACATATACCCTCTTCTTCACTTGCTCAGCGTGCTTGATTCCAACTCTCCAATTCACAGGCCAAAGGCAAGAACGGAACACACTAACTAAGGTTCCATCTGTGAATTTGGTCTGAGGGAGAGACTCCCCAGAGCAGCTGTTCTTAACTTTGACTGAACATTAGAAACACCTGTGAGCTTTAAAAAATCTTCATGTTCAGGCCTTCTACTGATTAAGTCAGACTCTAAAAATGGGATCCAAGTATCAGTACTTTTTAAAGCTCTCCAAGTGATTCCAACATGAGAATCACTGCTCCACAGTGAACCAAACATCATTCACCGGCCCTGAAACAGAATGTACATGCCCGGGCAGGTGCTCTAACTTTTGGCAACAGTACGGTATAGTGGGGAGAAACCCAGCTTCAGATTAAACTGCTGTTCCCCGCTTTCCAGCATGTGAGCTTTTGGACAAGCCACTCAACTTCTCTAATCCTCACTTTTCACATAACAAAATGGAGACCAATCCCTATCTCATAAAATAGGGTAAAATCAGGAAGTACGCATAAAGTAGTTGGCACAGTGCCAAGCAAGTAATGTTCAATATTGATAGCTCCTTTCTTGCTTCTGTTACTTCAGAGTACATGATGCCATGAATATTTATGCCTTGCTTATCTTTCACTTTTAGGAAAGAGGTTTATTTCTTGACTATGTGGTGCTTTCCTTGAAGGGGCTACATTTTATCTCAGTCCCTGGTGACTGGCAAAATACTAGGCACAGAGGAGGGGTTCAGGATATTTTTGTAGGATGAACATATGAACTGGAGTATCACTGCTCTTAATTTGTATTCTTTTCAGGGGTTCAAATAGTTAATAATTAGTCCATAGGCAGAGACATACATATTTTTTAAAATTTTCATTTAAAATCAAGGATTTCAATTACTTTAAAGCCACATTACTGTGATAAAATATAACCAACATCTTAAAGATTATTCTCTTATACTTTTCTATTCTGGTTTTAAAGAAACAAAGATCAAAAAGTCCACGGAACAAATGTTTATAATTCTTACAACTCTTCTTGCTCATCAGTGATGATTAAAACCAACTTTATGGTCAGGAAGAAAAGGAAAGCAGTGAATGTTAATTAGTGATAACAATGCTAAACTCTGTACTACCTGAATGAAGTGACTGTGTCTTAAGATATACCTGAAACGTTTCACTAAGTCGGCTACTTGCTCAGGTGAGGTCATCCAATCAACATGGTCAACTATTTTTCTGAAAGTAAAGAAATTTAAATTAGTAGGGTCAAAATTTTAAAAGGCGTATAAAATAAGCATTCCTTTCATGAAGTAACTTAATCGGTATGTAAATTATCTGTGAAAGCAACAGACTGTTTTAATGATCTTAAAAGGCTCAGAGAAGAAAATTCTCCTACAAAGGTTGAACAATCTACTTCCAGAAGTACATGTTTAAGAGCTAAGTAAAAACAGCTCTAAGGAATGAAAAAAAAAAAATTGGTACCTATTAATAGTATCACCATATGTGGCTCTAATAAGCTGTTGAAGTAGGTTTTTGATATTCCTTCGCAACCACTGATTTCTCTCTTTTAAGTCGAATACTTCATCCATAAGAAGCAGCATTACCCTAAGTGGAATATTGTCATCCACCTGAAAAAATATGGGAAGAAATGAAAATACATTTATTTGAGTTACTTATCTATACTATGAATGGCTACTTCTGCTGCTTTTACAAAATGATTGGTACTCAATTTCAGAGATCAGAGAATAAGTTATACTACGGTCTTCATAACCTAACATTTCATTCTAATTTTTAAAAACATAGGTTTTTAACAGTCATTTTGCAAGAATACAGAATTTTACAACCCTACAATTCCAAAGTGGTAGTGAAAAAAACTTCTCAAAGTGAATCTATGATGTCTTAGGAAAAAATAATTCAGCTCTTTTACTTTTAGTAGAGTCTGTACTGCTTTGATAAGGCAAATGCTGGCCCCCTTCGCCGATTTTCTGGAGCATCTTTTTGATAAAGAACAAAACAGTCTCAACATTTCTCCTGATTTAATAGAACAAAACACAATCTACACAGAATAACATGTTTTGCTTAGTGCGTTGTACATACTTAGGTATTTTCAGGAAAAAGAAGCTAAAATAAAATCCAGTATATAGCTAAGTTATTACAAAAGGCATATTTCACTATACTTCTAAAATTTTCTTTTTTTTTTAACCTTTGAAGATTTTATTTATTTATTTGACAGAGAGAGACACAGCAAGAGAGGGAACACAAGCAGGGGGTGTGGGAGAGGGAGAAGCAGGCCTCCCGTGGAGCAGGGAGCCTGATGTGGGGCTCGATCCCAGGACCCTGGGATCATGACCTGAGCCGAAGGCAGATGCTTAACGACTGAGCCACTCAGGCGCCCCTAAAATTTTCTTTTAACTTTTAGCAAGTAAAAATTTGTACAGGAATATTCAATTAATGATGTAAAAAGTAAAGATGACTACAAGAAGAGCAAAAAAATAAAAGTTAAAAAAAAATAAAGACGAGAAAGCTTTGATGTGAAAAAATATATACAAAGCAAAACAGATTTAGAACTACAATCAAACTGCATATAATTGCCAGTAATTTTATAATTCTTTCATCACTAAGATACTCTTTCCAATCATTTCCTCATCCATGTTGTAATTTAAATCTTGAGAAAATAGCATGAGTTATTTTCACTGTTACACTGTAAACATTTTCTTAGTGCACCTTCCCTTCCACATATTGAAAACTCAGAGCTAAACCAAACAAGGAATGGCTGGGGCTGGTGAGGGGGTGGGGGGCAGAGACGGATTTCACTCCAGAGGCAAATAAATACTTCTCTATTTTCTGATTGAGTATATACTCATTAGTTTGGTAAGACATGGTAATTCTAATAAATAGCTAAATTGTAAAAACTTTCAACAGAAGGTATGATGTTACAAATGTTATACCAGCATAACTCATAATAAAATACTCCTTAAAAAGCAAATAAAATATTATCTTTGTTTAATACAGTTTATTATAGGAAATTCAATGAAAAACTGAAGGGAGATAATTATGACTTTAAAATAAATCTGCCTAATAGAATACAAAGCCCAGACCCAAACATATACGATAATCTAATTTGTGACAAGGGAGAAACAGTACGCTTGGGAAAAGAGGGCCTTCTCAGTAAATGGTGCTGCTTGGGTCAACTGCCCTCACTCCATACACAAAAATCAATCCTAGATGAATGGGAAATCTAAATTTCGGCATGCTAAAACAAAAAAGATTTTTAAAGAAAATCACAAGTGATCCCTGTGACCTTGTAGTACGCACGGATTATATATATACTTTGCACAAAAGCACACCAACTAGAAGATATTCACAATACACAAATACTTTTATCTGACAAAGAACCACTATTCAGATTATATAAAGCACTCTTGTTAATCAAAAAAGACAAAGACAGCCAAGCCAACAGAAAAATAGAGGAAAGAGCTAGAGACACAAGACAAGACACCCAAATGGCCAACACACATATGCAAAGAGGTTCAACTTTTCCACAGTCATCAGAGAAATGGAAATCCATATGAGATACAACCAGAATGGCTAAAATTTAAAAGACATAACATACTGACTGTTGACAGGCTATGGAGCATTGAAATCCTCATGCATTTTGCTGGCAGCAGTGTAAGCAGCACAAACACTTTGGAAAACTATTTGACAGTATCTCTTAAAACTGAACTTATGAATACCTTCTAACCAAGGAATTCCATTCCTCAGTACAGACCCAACAGAAATGTATACTTAATTTTTTAATCAAATAAAAGACAGGTACCAGAATGTTCACAGGAGTACTATTCATATTACAACAAATAAATTATACTATATTTACAAAATGGAGTACTGTAAGTCCACAAGAATGAAGAAACTACAATCACACAAAACAACACGGAAGAATATCACAACGTTGAGCAAAAAAAAAAAAGCCAGACTTAAAGGAGTACATACCTTACAGTTTCATTTATATAAAGTATAAAAGCAGGGTAGAAGTCAGGATAGTGATTATCCTTGGTGGGGGAGAGGATAGTGACAGGAAGAGAGCATTAGGGGCTTTCTGGGGTATTGGTGTAACATTCTGTTTCTTGCTTAGAGTGCTGATTATATGGACACGTTCAGTTTGTAAGAATTCATCAAACTTAACACATAATATATACACAGAGGTATATAGTAATAGGTATACGTATTATACTTCATTAATCAGTTAAAAAGATTTACCAAGTATGATTTCAATTACAGTTGAATACTACCAAAAATAAAATTAACTCACAGTATCGTCAAGCTGAGCTGAGACCCGACAATGTTCAGGATCTGAGTCAGTCTTCGGAATTAAAGGAGGCACCTAACATTTAAAAGTATATAAAAACAGAGCAAAATAAACACACTAAAGCAGACAGTGAAAGAATACAATAATAAATCAAAATGAGTATAAAGAATAATAGCATTTAATTTGATTTCTGGAACGATATATAAACAAAGTTTGTATAGTATTAAAAAGTATTAACACTCTACAATTAGAAACCCAATGTTAAAATGTGATTACTTCATTACCAAAAGATTTTTTTCTTTAAAAAAAAAATGGACTTTTGAGTTGGAAGGGGAGATTACTTAGTAAAACCCCTATACTTTTTAGAACTTAAAGCTAAGAAAGGTTAAATGATTTAAAAACCAAAAGTTAGTAGCACAGCCAGAGAACAGAATTCCAATCTTTATTTTACCATAAGGAGCTTGACAGTAAGTTAACAGACTTAAGAAACTAATTAACCTGTTTTAGATAAGTTATGAGGAAAATGGAGAGACCGGTGTTAGTTGAAAATCATTTGTCAGCACAGCAGGGACCATCAAGATCACTTATTATAACCCCTTCATGTTGCCGGTAAGGAAAAAGGAACGGGAAAAAGCTCAGTGACTTCTGTACAAAGTCATATGAGTAGTGATCGGCAGAAGTGGCACTTGCAAAAACCCTCATTTTCAGTGTTAGTGTACATCCCCCCATGATTAGAAACAAAGATAAAGTATCAGAGAAAGTATAAGAATAAACAGAAAAGTATGGATTTACACACACATTATTTTAGGAGTTGTCTCTTAAAGAAATTGTGTGTATTTTTATTCTATATTTATATACATATTATATTTACTCTTCAAACATGATCTAACAAATAGAAAACTCTAACAGTAACAAGTTTTCTTTTTATAGTCTTGATTATAACGTTAAACAAGTAGGTGAAAATTATAAAAAGTATAACTCAGAAAGTAACAAACAACTTGGTCTGCTACCTGTATTTGCAAATGTGATGAAAATGTTTCTCTATGAAACTCTTCTATACCACTCACTTGTATATCCAAGTAAAGGATGGCCCCAGAGGCTGATGATTGTGAGACTTTTCCTCCCTTTGATCTCCTAGCCTAGCCACTTGGTCAGGTGAAGCAGGAGAAATTAGGTTTTATGTTTCCTGATGAATACTAGTATAGCTCATTTGCACAACAGCACTTGCTATTGTTTTAAAATTTAATAGCATTATAAAATAAAAATGGCATAATAGAATATAACAGTACAAAGGATGTCGGTTATCTTTACTGGCTTTCAAAATTCTACCACAGCAAAGCCTGAGGAGTGACTGGATTTCACAGTATCCATTTCTGGTAAGAATTCATTCTCTTTATTTTTTTTTATTTTTTATAAGACTATGTGTCTAGGGAGCTTTGGACTTCTCAAAAGAAATAAGGTAAATCTAAGCAGAAGCTCAATAAATCTTAGTTGATTTAAAAATAGTTTGCTGTAGATATTACTGAAAACATCTTCTTACCTTGAAAAATGATTGCTTTATGTCTTGACCTAATCTTTCTGACATTTTGCCCATGTTGTCTGACATTTTAGTCATTCCCTCTGCCAAGCTATCAGGAAGGGATTTAACTGCATTTGAAACATTCCTCATAGAATTTCGAAGTGGATTTACAAAAGTGTCCATCTAAGGGGAAAAGATATTATACCATGACTTCATTGTATCAGACTTGTTATTTAACTGAGAAGCCTGGGAAAATACAGAGTGCAACACACACGAAAAATGCAGTAACTTTCTAGTCTATAATATCTAATTGCATTTTAAAAGTACAGAACTACTTTCTTCAAAATGTATTGTCTTAAAAATATATTTTCACACACAAATATATGATTAAATAACTTGGTGATAAGGCAATTGCTAGAAAATATAAGCTTTAGCTTATACAAAAAATAAAATATGTTGCTAGTGATTACAAGTTTTGGCTGCCTTATTAAAGAAATAAGCTAAAATAAATAAAACATTTTCCAAAACAGAAATTGGTGCAAACGGAATTAGCCACAACATACTTCTGCTACAATTCAAGGCAATAATAACATAGGTATTTTGAGGAGACAATGAAAAATAAACAAGCAGATAAAATAAGCAGAAAGCTCAAGTAACTAACAAGTAACTAAGATTTATTTTTTAAAATAATTTTTTGGTTACATTACATGCTCAGAATCTATAGAGGGACTATGGAATCCTTTAGTAAGACAGAAAAGAAAAACTATAAAAGAAAATATGATCAGAAATATAAAAAGGAATAATCTCCAGGGGGATAGGAAGCATTAAAATTGACATTCTGACTGCACAAATGTCAGATAATTTCAATTAAGAAAGGAAGAAACATCTAGAAACCAAAATAGTCTGCATATGGAACTCTGAGAATTTTAACAGAAACAAAGAAAAAAACAAAAAAGGGACACAAAATCAAAGTCATAAAAAATCTACAAGAATATTTTCCAGAAAGTGTGACTCTCATAAGAACTAATGCAGAAACAAATTATGTTCCCTACCAAAAAAAAACAAAAACAAAAACAAAAAACTAAAAGACACTGAACTCCACTACTTCAGGAACATAGCACAATGTTAAGAGATGGTATCAAGAAGATAAAACTCCTTCACTCTAGTATGTTTTCATGGTTTCCATTAAGAAAAACTAGAAAAGGTTAAATAAGTGCTATAAAAAAAGACAACAAATGAATTTCAAGATAGCCGTAAAATAATTGGAAGTTTTAGTTACTCTTTGGATTAAACTGAGTCAATAGTGCTCTAGATATGCTTGATGGAATATGCAACATTTAGGAGGGACATTGTCACAATAGAACAATTCAGAGGAGAACCAAAGGACAAAAACAAGTACAAAGAAGGGTCTGAAAAACACTACCACTGGTACACAGATATAGAGATAAAAAGGCTAAAAAGGTGAAGCTAACTGTGTGTGTGCATGTGCACTTGTGGGTAAAATTATATATGTGTGTATGTGTATGTAGCCTCACACCAGACATGGGGCTAAACTACCACTGATACTCTTAAAATAACAGAACCTAAATCTGTATCATGCATTAGTTAATAATATAAATAGTTGCCTGTGCACTATCCTAGACCTACAGAATCTATTTTTTTTTCCTTTTTCCTTTTTGTTTTTTGTTTTTCAATTCTGAGGGTAAAGCCCAAGCATCTGTACTGGGGACGGGGAATGGGTGAACTAGAGGGATGGAAAAACCTCCACAGGTGATTTTGATGCCTAATCCTGAAAAAAGCAGAATTTCAGAAGCATAAAAACAGAGTCCATCGCTGTATGACAAGATTTCCACAAACAGGATTTGTCTTAAAACACGTGCTTAAAACAAAAAAACAAACTTGTAAATTACCAAGCAGAGGAATGAATTATGGATCACCAGCATAAGTGTACACTTGGCCTGACTTACCAAAGATGTTTTCCCTGCATTATCACTTCAATTATGTGTATCAGTAACAACACAAAGTAATTTTAATTTAAATTTAGGTCCCTTAACTATAGCTTAAAAAATGCCTTCGCACCGTGGTATCAAAGTGGATAGAAAGAAACAGTGTGAATAAAGGAAGACTGTGTGTTAGTTACTCTTCCTAGGAATTGCCCACATATTTTGAAAGGCTAGACAAACTCTGTGACCAGGTTAATATGTTATAAAGTATTATTTCTCAAGCTCTGATAGCCACTGAGAAGATGTTTGCAGATGATTTCTCTAATACCTACTTAATTTTCAGTGAAATATAATTAAGAAAAAAATATTAAATTATAATTTAGCCAAAAAGGAAATATAGCTGAAAACCCCTAATTCTTGATGTGCATAAAAATTATTTTGCCAATCTAAAAGAGGTCAAGATGACCTTGGTAACAGCCAATATGATTTATGAAAAATGTATGTTACTATGGACTTCCAGAAAGATTCAGAGGATCTTTAGATTCCAGTGGTAATATTTTTAAAAAGCAATACACAGCTGTCCAGATATATAGAGCATATATATGCTCTACACACACAGTACTATGGTCAACAAAAAGAAATTGTGTACATTTGAGGTAACATTTCTTTTATCTCAAAAAAGCTGTTATTGATTTATTAGTTCTTCTTAAAATTGATAAAATCTTGAGAGAAAATAAGGTAAATATCAAAAAGATGGAACACTAGAAGGCATCTCTACTGACAATAAAACCACTTAAGAGTTGAAATTTAAACTCAATCACTTCAATCACGAAATACAAAGACATATCACCACACTGTCCCCCCACCATTATAAGGCACATAATATGGAACTTGTTATTAAAACACTCCACTAAAAAATGTTAATATCCGCTTAGATGTTAAAACCCAACACCCTAGAGTAATCATACACAGTTCTTATGTTTAATTCTTACTTATTCTGTACCAGTTAATTCTTACTTATTTTGTACCAATTCCCTAATTTTTTTTTTTTAGTCTTTTCAGAGCGCAGGGAGGAGTGGCAGGGAAGTCACTTTTTGTTTGTTTTTAATTTTCATTTTGAAATAATTTTAGACTTTTGAAAAGTTATAAAACTACAGAGTTCCTACCCACTATTCACCCAGGCCTCCCAACTGCTGTTACTGCTCCCACTATGACTGCCGCCACTCCTACGAAGAGGCAACATTTATTCTGAAGTTAATGAAGTGCCAGGTGCTGTCATACATGGAATATCACATTTGACTTGTACAATGCTGTAAAATGAGGATTAGTATCTTCATTTCTTGGGAAAACTAAAGGACCAAAACGTGAAGTAACTAACATGTTGCAGGTCACAGCTAGTAAATGGCAGAGCAGGGATTTAAACCAAAGACTAATTCCAAAGTCTGTGTTCTCACTCACTAAACTATCTTGCCCGATTTGAGCACTTTGTCATTTATTGTCTTAACCTACCATCTAATTCCAAGTTTAGGACCCATATCCCCAAAGAAATTTTAAATAATAAAGATTTCACCCAAGGGGCATAAATACTTTCAGGAACATAACCTATTGAACATTTTTCTTATCCTCATTCCAAGTAAAAGACCTTTCCTGTCAGTAAGAAATGGCTCCTTCTCAAGTTATTGAAAAGCTTGGGACCTATCTTAGGCAAATCTTCCTCACTGCATTATTTCAAAAAGTCTTTTTTCTTTGTTTTAAGCTCCTGCTAGATTTTAATCTACACGTTAAAATAGTTTATATTTATCAGATATGCCTATCAATAGCAGGCTTAATAAACCATAGAAGATAAACATGCCAAAAAGCATTTAATAAAACTTTCCGGTTTTAAAACTTACAAATGTAAATTTATTTTCTTTTATTTAAAAATGTATGAAGGAGTGCCTGGGCGGCTCAGTCAGTTAAGAGGCTGCCTTCAGCTCAAGTCATGATCTCGGGGTCCTGGGATCGAGTACCGTGTCAGGCTACCTGCTCAGTGGGGAGCCTGCTTCTCCCTCTCCCTATGTGCTCTCTCACTCTCTCTCAAGTAAATAATTAAAATCTTTTTAAAAAATGATGAAAACAGACCTATAAAGAAAACCAATGCAATGGTCTGCTTACCTTGCGAGCAAAATCCCCTTTCCCTTTACTGTAGGCTTTGTTCTCAAGGAAATCATACACATAGTGAGCCAAAGCTGGGGATGCTTTCATCATTTCAGGAGTCAACAGTAACTAATGGGGGAAAAAAAAAAGATATCCTACATAGATACAGTATTGGAAATTAACTCCTATCTATAATTTTATCTGCTAGAAAATTAAGCATGTACAGAATTTTAATTTTGTATTTAAAAAACCAATTACACAGTTTATAAATAAAGTCATCAATAATTCTATGACCATTAATAGTTCGGTGTATATTCTTCCCATCTGCTTTTTTGACTTTCAGTGCATCTACTGTGACAGTTGTCAAATGTATTTACTATAGCAGTCCCCTTTCTCCATGGGGGATATATTCCAATCCCCCCAGTGGAGTCCTGAAACCAAAGATAGTACCGAACCCTACATATACTGGTTTTTCCTATACATACATACATACCTGTGATAAAGCTTTATTTATAAATTAGGCAGAGTAAGAGATTAACAATAATAACAATAAAATAGAACAATTATAACAATATGCTGTAATAAAAGTATATGCAATATACTGTGAATGTGGTCTCTCTCTCAAAATACCTTACTGTTCTGTACTCACCCTTCTTCTTGTGATGATAAGAGATGAGAAAATGCCTACATAATTAGACGAGGTGAGGTGAATGACATATGTATTGTGACACAGCATTAGGCTACTACTGACCTTCTGACAATTCATCAGAAGGACAATCATCTGCTTCTGGACCATGGCCATGGCTGACTGGGTAAGTAAAACCACGGAAAGCAAAAACCACAGATAAGGGGAGGAGACTACTGTAGTCCATTTTCAGGTCTTATAGCTTATACTACGAAGATCCACATTAGTAAACTGTTATGTTTATCACATCCTAATTCTAAAGTTAACCTAAATAGAAAGTACATAAAATAATCTGAACATACTGCTTTCACAACTGTTAATGATAATGATTCACACCTAACATTCTACCTTAATTCCTTCAATGGAACGTTATTTTGACATATCTTGAGTTCATCAGCTACAATATATTTGGTACAGCCATATTTAAAAGATACATTTATGGCACCAGATTTGGGAAAAAGTCTTTTAAATCTTACACATAACTGATACAGATTTTTATACAATTAAAGCTAACATATTAAAAAAATCAAAGTGTTTGGGGTGCCTGGTGGCACAGTCGGTTAAGCATCCATCTGACTCAATTTCAGCTCAGGTGATGGATCTCAGGGTTGTGAGACCAAGCCCCAAGTTGGGCTCTGTGCTCAGCATGGAGTCGGCTTGCAATTCCCTCTCCCCCTTCCTCTGCCCCTCCCCCAACTTGTGCTCCCTTGCTCTCAAATAAAATCTTTAAAAAATTTTTTAAATTAAAAAACCAGTGTTTGACAAGAGTCATACAAATCATATCACACATCCAGCTTTAAGTCAGAAGATAAAGGTAAATAATAAGAGAATTATATGTTTTGCTATCTTTCCAGGAAATAATAATGCCATGGAATTACAATTATGGTTATAAACAAACCAAATCAAACTTACAAATGTTTTTATAAATGCTTAAGAGAGAGAGAAACCTTCCAAACAAAATATCCAGTATAGCATTAGCTAAGTTTCACTACATACTAGGGAAGGGTCAGCAAACTTTTCTGCAAAGGTCCAAATAATAATTACTTTCGGTTTTGTAGTCCACTGTGTCTTTGCTGAAACTACTCAACTCTACTGTAGCAAAATGTAAAAGCTGTACTAGGCAATAATAAACTGAATGGATGGCTGTGTTCCAATAAAACTCAATAAAACATATGGTGAACTAGATTTGGTCTGCAGCCTGCAATTTGCTGACCCCTGTTCTAGAGGGTGGAGTAGGGGGTCTAAATAATGGAACATTACATACCTGGGCTAAAGCCAGGTCTATTTGATGAAAAACCTTTACAAATCATTCATTAGTATAAAAAACTATAACGTGATATTATTATTATATCTGACATCTGGGTACCCAGGTCTAAAAGTTTTTTTCTGGGATAAGTAACTTTGTGAGACAAGTTTTGTTATTCCACAATAGAAAATCTACATACCTAGAATACTACATGTAAGAAATAGTCCCTCAGATCTATTCCTCTTTTGAATTATCCTGTAATTTTAGAAGTCTTAGACTCACTGTGGACCATAGGAGGCATTTATCAGGAATGAAAATATGCTAGCTTTGAAGAGCAACTACCTAGTGAACTGGAAACATTTATCTGTTTAGTGTACCATAAAACACCTAGACTTTACAGTGATGTGTAAGACACATGTGTGCCTGTGTGTGTGTATTCATCTAAACCTGAAGTGACAAAATCCCTAGCAGTGTCCAGAAAACAGAGAATATTGATAAATTACTGAACAGATGTGACATACTACTGAAAAGTGGTTACTATTCCACTATTATATTAAAACATTCTTTAATAAAGAAATCTACTATTTCTGTAGGCTATATTAAAATGAAAATCTATGGGTAATAATAAACATGGACTTACCTGCAAATATGCATTTAAATCCTTTTTTCTTTTTTCTAAAAAATCTCTATCCATATTATTAAAAGTCTTTTTACCAGGAAGCTTCAATATGCTTGATAGATTTTCAAACTAGAAGATAAAATACATTCAATAATTTTAGTTTTTTTTTTTTTTTTTTACGAAAAATGAAAAGCATTTTCCAAGGAATAATTCCTCTATATATCAAAAGCATCTTTAACAGATTATTTTGTAATATATTCTATTAAGCAAAAATCAGAAAGTATGTCCAAACACAGTTCTAATGCTACTTATTTATAAAGGAGTATTTTCAATCAAGAATGACAAACATGGATAACTGATAAAGAGGAATGATGTCCACATGAGGTTTCCTTTTTAATACTCTAATTTTGTTCAAAATTATCAATAATAAAAGGTTTTAAAATATTTTCCTTAACACTCTGACTTGTGAATAAAGTATTAGCAAATATATTTTTAAAGACCAAAGACCCATGAGTTCCTGGCTTAAGAAATCTACTAAAGAAATCTTTTTTAATATTGATGACTGTCAATCAGTTAATCATTCTAATAGCTAGTTATTAAAAATAGAAAAGGTGGGGCGCCTGGGTGGCTCAGTCGTTAAGCATCTGCCTTCGGCTCAGGCCATGATCCCAGGGTTCTGGGATCGAGTCCCGCATCGGGCTCCCTGCTCCGCGGGAAGCCTGCTTCTCCCTCTCCCACTCCCCCTGCTTGTGTTCCCTCTCTCGCTGTGTCTCTCTCTGTCAAATAAATAAAATCTTTAAAAAATAGAAAAGGCAAATTTCAAAATATTGATTACAGTTTTATTACAACTCTGCATATAAACAACTGTAGTACAACATGGACACTTCTTCCCCACCAAACACATGAAAAATAAACTCAGATTATTAAGAAAAAAACCTAAAAGCCATTAGTATGTATCGTATCTTTGCAAGACCACAAGCACCAAGTAAGTGTACATGCTCTAGGTCTAGCATTTACAGACTTAACATTTGGGTGCACCTTCAAAGGCCCACATATATAGTAATGTGCTGTGCCTTGCTAAAGCACAGAGTTTAACTACACCAGCTACTAACACAGCACGGGAGGAAAGTCATTTAGCTAGTGACTGTGGCTGGCCAAAAGCCTAGTAACTGAAACTTCAAGCAGCCTTCCTGTTTTTCCCATGTGATACATGTCCTAAACTGAAACAAACTTTCTAAAACCATCCTTTGTTTAAAAACATCAACAGTAATGGTTCTGTAAAGAAAACTCATTCCTGGTGCAGAGATTAAAGAGGAAATGAAAAGGTTTAGGTTAATTTTCATCTCCAAACTGGAAGATTCTAAAAAATTATTAAATGGAATGGCAAATCTGATGGCTGCCTGCAACTATAATGTGAATAAGTTCATTGTATGTTATACATGAAAGGTAAAGGCAGTTCTTTTGCCTCAGCAAAGGCAAGAAAAACAAAAAAGGAAAGTTGCAATTTATAGGGCAAATGTTATGCTGTAGCCATATTCACAAATTTGGTTGCTCACAAAAGTATCAGAATGGGTCCTCATTGATTATCAAATGTCCAGTGGAGAGTTCCTGGTTTTATGAATTAAAAAAATCATACCTTATATACCTTATGGAAATAAATTAAGTTTTTCAATGTGTCCCAAAAGTTATTTAATTTGCTGGAATATTACTTTTCTACATCATCTTTAACTACTGACTTAACTTTACAGAATACATACTTTATTCTGGTAATACAAAGATGTTATGGGCTGAAAGGTATTGCCCCAACGTCATACATTGAATCCTTAACCTCTAGTACTCCAGAATGTGGCTGTATTTGCAGATAGCGCCTTTAGAGAGGGGATTAAGTAAAACAAAGCCCTCAGGGTGGGCCCTAATCTAATCTGACCGGGACTGGTGTCTTTAAGAGGAGAAAATGTGAACACACAAAGAGACATGAAGGAGGTGAGCACACAAAGAAAAGGCCATGTGGAGCCATAGAGAGAAGGGTGTCCATCTGAACGCTAAGGGGAGATGGCTCAGGAGAAACCAAATTCACCAACACCTTGATCTTGGACTTCTAGGTTCCTGAACTGAAAGAAAATTTTTTTTATTGTTTAAGCCACTCAGTCTGTTGTATTTTGTTACGGTAGCCCTAGCAAATTAATACATCAAAGAATATAGCAGTTTGCAATAAAACAACAATTTATTTCAGAAACTTTAAAATATTAAACCTTGTTAATTAGAAAAAAACAAATTAGGGGCGCCTGGGTGGCTCAGTCATTAAGCGTCTGCCTTCGGCGCAGGTCATGATCCCAGAGTCCTGGGATCAAGCCCGCGTCGGGCTCCCTGCTCAGCGGAGAGCCTGCTTCTCTCTCTCCCTCTGCCTGCCGGCTCTGTCTACTTGTGCTCTCTCTATCTCTCTGTCAAATAAATAAAACCTTTAAAAAAAAAAGAAAAAGAAAACAAATTAAATGCCAAAAAAGTTATTTTCTTAAAGCCTAGATTATCAAACTCGTTTTAAAATGATCTGGAACAGAAGCATTAATGACTGACAGTTCTCTCAAATATTATTATTATAAAAGGAAAAAAAGGTGAAATTTATACTCTATATTAAACTCATTACAAGTTTGATATTTTAAAGATTTTAGAAGTACAAGTAAGAGGTAGCCCACTCCCTGAAAGGTAATATAATTCCCTCTGCCAAAAATTCAAGAAATTTTTTTAAAGCATGTAAAGAAAAAAAATTAGAAATTTGCCTGAACATAAGAACTCACATAAATTAAAGAGTATTTCATGTTCACAAAGAACTCAGATACATATATATCATAAACATTCCAAAATAAAAGATTTTATCTTTCTACATTGAATTATGTCTTCCTGATGCACTACCAGAAAATTCAAAAAGCATGCCTGAAATTTTGTTAGAAGGATTCAAAATTGGTTTATAGCCAGGCACATAAATACTTTTACTCAGTTACCTTAATGCATACTTAATATTTTCTAAATCACTAGTATTTTATCAGTACTAATATACAATTCACCCAGTGTAACAGTAATGCAGTGTCTACTAGAATGTAAGCTCCTAGAGGCAAGGACTTGGTCTGTCCTGTTCACTGATATATTACCAGCACTGAGAACAGTACCAAGCACAGAGAAAAAACTTAATACGTATTTGTTGAATAAATAAATGCGTAGGTTCAGGCGATTTCTAAAATAATGTCACATTTAATTTTTTAATTATTTTCTTTCAATTTTATAAATCTTTATCCATAAAATATCAAATGAGGCTAAAAAATCTTTAAAGAAAATAAATGTTTTTATATATTTAGACTGGAAAAAGTTCACATCACAAAGTTAAACAAAACCTGTTTTAAAAAATGTTAACACTTCAAGAGCTCTATGGAGTTAAAATTCATTTGTGTCAACAGGTTGTACTGTTACCAAAGGATGTATTACTATTCAGTCACTGCATTTTTCTTCTATTTTATGAGAGATTTAAATTTAAAACTACAGGTAAAGCAGAGCTAAGAGGCAAACAGCCTGAATCTTATTTACAAATGCTTAGCATTTTGCTTAAAGCTACATTTTCACTCACAAGCTTTGTTTTTAAATTCTTAAGCTCTGTGAGCAATCTAAATACTTAAGTACTTATTAAACACTAACAGAACTTGATAGGAAACACAAAGTCAAAACCACTTTGCCTGTACTGAGCCCTCTCAAAAATGAATTCACTTTATTAATTTCATTTAATTTTTGATGCTGTATTGAAAAAGAATTTCTGGGGGCGCCTGGGTGGCTCAGTCGGTTGAGCGTCTGTCTTCGGCTCAGGTCCTGATCCCAGGGTCCTGGGATCGAGCCCCACATCGGCTTCCTGCTCAGCGGAGAGCCTGCTTCTCCCTCTCCCTCTGCCTGCCTCTCTGCCTACCTGTACTCTCTATCTCTCTGTCAAATAAATAAATATTAAAAAAAAAAAAAGAAAAAGAATTTCTGTATGAACTGTTCTATTAATAAAGTTTTTTTAAAGTATGTTCTTCACTTATATTTGTCAATATGTAAACATGACATTTACATTCCTAGACTAGAAAATTTCACATTATACCAAATTCTCATTGATTTGCAAGTAAATAAAACTACTTCCTAGCAATTCATATTATCTTAAATTTGTCTTGCTTGGTTAAAGTGTGAGGATGGGGAGAAAGATACATAAGCTGTGGGATTTTAGCATACAAAACAGGCAATATTTTAAAAATCAAAGCAATTATTTATTTCTTCAATGTGGGACAGAAAATTCTTTCACCTCTGCAAAAAAAAAAAAAAAAATCAAGCTAAACATGAAGAAACAAATCAAGAAACATGGTGATCTATTCAACAACAAAAATAGAACAGGCATGCCTGAAGTTATTAATTTCCTTATGATTCAAAATAGTCTTCTTCGGGCGCCTGGGTGGCTCAGATGGTTAAGCGTCTGCCTTCGGCTCAGGTCATGATCCCAGGGTCCTGCGATCGAGTCCTGCATCGGGCTTCCTGCTCCTTGGGAGCCTGCTTCTCCCTATGTTTCTCTCTCTCTCTCTCTCTCTGTCTATCATGAATAAATAAATAAAATCTTTAAAAAAAAGTCTTTTTCATATGGGCTTCTGGAGCCAACACTAAATCTGTTTTTAATCACTTTTAAGCCATTAATAGTTTATCTCACTCTATTCACAGAATATTTTAATGAGATTATCATGGTATCAACCATATTTTTTCCACTATCTTAACTGAAAAAGGTATTTTCTGATTACTCAAATAATACAATGCCATTTCAAAGCTTCTGTCCAAACATCACCAGTAATTATTATTTTTATTGGTTTAATACCATTGCATATTTAAAAACTTTGAATGAAATAAAAGATTCTCAAAAGTTAAATTCCACAGATCACATACTGCAATTCATCTGGTGATAATCTACTTTTCAAAGTTAAAGAAGAAAGTATTTAATAAAAAAGTAAAGCAGAGAAATAACTTGTTTACATGTGTTATCCTTAAGGGTCCATATACTTCTATAAAACAAAAGGGTTGTATTTAGTAAGAATTAAAAACATTATTTGGTTAATGTTAAATTTAATTTAGGTTGTGTTTATAAAACAACTTGATGGATAAAGGACTTAACTGTTACACTGTGGGGATAAGGATACCATTTAAAATAACTAGAGCTCTGAATTATATTGCCGAAAACAAAACACAAAATGCCTTGCAGTGATCCTCCCTATTTTAAACAAAACCCAAACACCTCTACAAAGCAACACACATACACACACACACACAATCAGAAATATACATTCATTTTAATTTTCCAAGGTAGATCACTGATATTTTGTCACTGGTCTACAATGCTTGGGACTGGTTAAAGATTGATTTATTGGTTAAATGCCCATAATCATTCTGACATTATGCTGATTATACGAAAATGCTTACTTTATTTTCTTCTGCTCTGGTCAGTATCTTAGCATCCTCAGAACTATTTAGAATCACACATCAAATCAGGAAACAATGTAAAACACAGAAACTTTAAAAACCTCATTACCTGCTCAGTGATCCTCATATGGAAGTCATGAAAGTCACTATAGCGACGATAGGTTTTCCACATCTCCTCACTGTTCAGATTGCGCCGGTGTACAGTGATAGCATACAATGCGTATGTCTTGCCATGATCATTACAAACGCCTGCCACAGCATATGGGTCATAGTCAGCATATACTAGTCATTTAAAACAAAATGAAGAGGAACAAAACACACAAAAAGGAGGAAGATGAAGAACAAAAACAAAAAGACATGGAATGAAGAAGAATTTGAAATGACAGACTGAGACAAAAGGATGTCACCCAAGGGTAAAATAGATTCCCATCCTCTGTACTCACAATGACAAGATTTTATACACAGTAACTCCACCATAAGTTTATGATGACACTACCAACCACACAGTGGTATCTACTTTAGACTCTCTTCCTCAAGAGCTTGTGCCGATTCTTAGTTTCGATACCACACTACCACCTACTACAGTATTATTCTTTAAATTAATAGAGGAAAAATAACAGAAACAAAATAATCTTTCATAGTAACCTTCACTATTCAGCTGTATTTCAATTAAAATCTCTTCAACTAAACAGAAAGCAAAAGCCAAGGAATAAGGTTTCATGAACTCTTTTGACACGCCTCTTCACCATTTATAACATTCAAAAATTTACAAGTGTAGTTCATTCTGGAGTTTTGGTTTTTGTTTTTTTTTTTTGGAAAAGGCATTTTCCTACTGACGTGTCACAAACCATTCCAGTGAGGTAGTCTCTAAAATCTAAACCTGTTCCCACTGTGTACTAACCTTAAGTAAAGGGATTCACTTTGAATCATTTTCTTTAATTTTCTTTCCTATTTTTCCATTTTCTTACCTCCTTCTAGTGTGGTATTCTATTCTAGATCATTTCTTCAGGTCTTTAAAAGTTTACTGAGTCTCCATTCATCTACATCTGGTCTATTTCTTAATCTAACCACTGACCTCAATTTCAATCACAATATTTTTTTCTACGATTGTATTTGGTTGTTTTTTCATAGTGTTGCATTCTTGCCTTAGGTTTTATCTCTATGACTATTTTTAACACCCTCTCAGGCTAGGAGGCCCTGTGGTACAAATCACTTGAAGATGGCTGACTCTAGACACACCCATGTTGGGAATCAAGATAGGCTTTCAATTTCTTGAGGATGACAGATACCTTTTCCAGGCATGACTTGACATTCTTTGTTTTTTCCTATTACTATAGGTAACACTATTTATTATTTACTGTTCACTTCTTCCAGCCATCCTCTCAGAGACCTATGCAGAACAAACTGCACAAAACTTTTTCATCATGTTAGAGAACCACCACCACTCAAATATAGCTAGCATGACAACAGGGAATAGTTTTTTTTTTTTTTTTTTTAAAAGATTTATTTTATTTTATTGAGAGAGACAGAGAGAGAGCATGAGAGAGAGGAGGGTCAGAGAGAGAAGCAGACGCCCTGCTGAGCAGGGAGCCCGATGCGGGACTCGATCCTGGGACTCCAGGATCACGACCTGAGCTGAAGGCAGTCACTTAACCAACTGAGCCACCCGGGCACCCCGGGAATAGTTTTATCTGTTGTGCTCAAGATAGGTTTGGGGAAGGAAAACAGAAAGCAGAAACCACTTAGGAGCAAATCATAACCAATTAGAAGTTAACAAGAGCAAGGAGAATAAGAAGAACAGAAAAGAAATGAGGGGAAGAAGAATTATCAGATTTATCACAAAATGATAGGCAGAAGAGCTCATGACTTGGGTGCATGCACAATAGGAAGAATAAAGAGGTTGTGCAAAAGATAAAAAGGCAATTTGATTTTAAAGAAAGATAATGAGGTTGCATATATTGATTATGAGATGATGGTGAGATATTATTAAACTGATAAGAACAGATACTACACTTGATCTTAGCCAAAAGGCCGAGAAGCGATGGTGGTGAGATATTATTGTGGAAATATTCTGTTTTCATTAGGACAATGTTACAGCAGGTGATATAAACTATTTGTCACTAATCCAGAATCAGATAAGGAACAAGAACCAGAATATAAATCAGACTCATCATTAAGTACATTGCTTAATTGAGCTAATATTTTTTAAAGGAAGATTTCACAAAGAAGAGAAGCAGTATGCACCGGTTCGTGGACCACTCCTTGAGAAGCCCTTCACTGGACTCTAAGTTCTACTTCCTGTAATAAAGATGTTAAGAATATAAAATATAGACTCTCTGGAGTCCAACTGGTAAAATATTTATTGAACAAACTAATGTTACTAATGTAATTAATGAGTCCTCTAACAACCCTATGAAGTAAATATTATTATTATTATTGCATTTTATGGATAAGAAAATTGAAGTACAGAGAAGTTAAGGACCTTGCCCAAGTTCACCCAACTATTAAGTGGCAGAGCTGGGGTTTGAACCCATGGAAATGGACAAAAAGTAATGTTCTTAAAACTGTATTATGCTGCCTCTTTAGTATTTATACATAAGTTTGACAAAAATAACAATTTATTAAAAATGCTTAGTATGGTGCTTTCATACATTTCAAGAAGCTAATAAATACTTCTTGAATAAATGGACAAAGGAGCTAGAAAAACCACAACTTTCAGAGAAAAGAAAGATCTACATAAGAAATATAGACATGAGTATCTTCTTTGAGACATAAAGTTTAAGGTCTTTAAGAAAGAAATAAAAGGACAAATACTAAACATTTGTGGTTTAACAAAGACTTTCATATTTGGAAGATAAACCAACAAAGAAAAGAGAGATTTTTAAAAAGAATTTTAAAATTTCAGGAAGGAAAAGTGAAACAACTATAATAAAAGCTAGAAAGAAAAGCAACAAAACCTCTGGTTTTATTGACAAAGTTGTTATCTAATGACCTTTATAAGCAGAGTAATGTATGCACCAACTAACTGTAAAGGATAAAAGAACAACTTAGACAGCAATTATAAATAACTTATTTCAAAAATATGGCAGGGAACACAATGCAAAATGAGACTCCAGCTCCAGTGGGAAGAAAAAGAAAACAGAGATGTTAAAAAAAAAAATGCAAATTATCTTTTAAGCTGTACTTGCACTATAAAATCTCTTCTTAGTTACCTAAAATGTAAGCACGAAACTGAACTGAGATACCTCAGTATGGTAATATTTCAAATGTAATCGGACAGACACACTCCTATAAACTAGGAACAGTGAGAGGCGGGATAAGTAAACCATCACTATCTACTACTCATTGGCATTATCTAATAACCCAATGGCAATGATGAAAATAGATTTTTTTCTCAGTTCACTAACCATTTTGCATGTATGCTAAGTCACAAAATTTTAGGTTTCTCACTTCATCCAAGCATTTCTTAAGCGTCTGTAAACTCCTATACCAATGTTTCATTAACCCACTTATCTAGTCTGACTTTACATGTATAAAAAAGATGGAGCTAAAATCTGCCCCAAGCAATTTAATAAGAATTATGCAGACAATTATCAGCAAGACGCAAACAAGAAGAAGAAAAGTTTGGGTTTCAAGAGTTTATTAGCAATGACAAAATGCTTAGAATTTAAGCTTTTCCAAATGTAAATAGTAACAACCTTAGAGAAAGAAGATACACAAATACATCATAACATATACACAAAATATCACTGAACATGATAAAGAGTATATATCAAACCATAATACAAACGTAACAGAATTTATTGGAAAACATGCTGCAGAAAAAAAAATGTAACTTAAAAATGACTACAGAAGAGAAAAATGGTTTGTAAAAATAAATGTAGAAAATAGTCCAAGGGTGATAATAATTAATAATTTTTGAGTAATAATTATACCACAAAGTCTCTTACCAGTGTCTGAAATGTAAGCATGAAGTTGTACTGAGTCATCAGAAGATACATTTGAAAGGTCATCTAAAGACTTGAAAAAGAAAAATAATCAAAAAAATATTTTAATTTTATAGGAAAAAAGTGTTAACGCATCCTATATCATATATGCCTTACTCATCTTTGCCCCACGTAAACTTTATATTATCTGTATTCCTCCCCCAACAATAATCCTCTCTATTTATACTAACAGCAGAGAGAAAATCCACAATTAAAAAACTATAAAACAAAGAATTTCAGAAATCAACTTAGTACATCGATTATTTCTTCCTTCATTGTTTATCCATATACCGACATTTGTTACTTCTCAAATATATTCAATATATGGCAAGGAATAAAATATGGATAAAAATAAGTAGACATGTTCTTAAGTTACCATTTCAATTTTTTTTAATGTTGAACTATACTAGAGCCAATTCTGTATTATGTAACATTTTTGTAAACTTAGGAATAATTTTAGATTCCTTATCTATAAAATGAGAGTAATAGTACCTACACATCACAGGGTTATGTAAGGATTAAATAAGAAGACATGTAAAACATCAGTAAGACTGCCTAACACAAAAAAATGCTACCTATTATGATTACTTATTACATGAAGTGAATCCAGTCTAAGATTTTAAATAATTTTCAAAAATAATTCCACAAACAAAAATCATTACTGAGTGACCCAAATGAATCTTTTTTCAACTATGGCCTTTGGGTTTAAATTTAAAACTTTTTTGCCTCATATACACACACCCACACATACCTAGAAGGGCACATAATGACAGACTGTATAGAAAGAGTTAACCTGAGTCAACTATATTTCAAATAATAATAATCATAATAAAATATTATATACTTGGAATTACTAAGAGGGTAAATCTTAAATGTTCTCAATACAAAAAGAAATGGTAACTATGTGATGTGATGGAGGGGTTAGCTAACCCTAAGGTGGTAACCATTTTGTAATATCAAACCAATATGTCATATATCTTCAACCTATGTAATGTTTTATGTCAATTATATCTCAATAAAGCTGGGAAAAAAAATAAACAAGAAAGAGTTCATTTGAAATTGCTCTCCTTTGAAAGGAATGCTTGCAAGCCTGGCCCTTGGATGACATCTGGGAATTTAGAATTAGGGAAGGTTCCCACCATTCCTTAACCACTAAGAGTAGTTCACTGTACCTAATAACTGTTTATGCTGAACACCTGCTTTCCTTCTGGGAGTCTGGAATTTTAGTATGTACTAACTAGAGGTTTGCCTATGTGGCCTCCTCCAGTGAGAACCCTGGTCACTTAGTCTCAGATAAGCTTTCCTGGTAGCAACATTTCATATGTGTTGTCACATTCATTGCTGGAGGATTTAAGTTTGTCTAATGTGACTTTCATGGGAGAGAAGTCTTAGAAACTTGTACCTGGTTTCCTCTGTACTTTGTTGCATGTGCCTTTTCCCTTTCCTGATTTTGCTTTATATCCTTTCTCTCTAATAAATCCTTTCCAGAAGAGTCAGAGTATTCTAAGGCCTACGAGTCCTCTTAGTAATCAGTGAACAACGAAATGGTCTCTGACACACCGACGTTATATGATTCAGACATATTTTATACTCTAAAAACCACAGGATCTGAATGAACTTTGGGTTCTAACATGATATTACCAATATTATTAGGAGAGTCATTTAAATGACTTAAATGCAGCTATATATGACATACAGCCATTTAAATTAAGGCAACTGCATTCTAAGAAGAAAACCAACTGCATTCTAAGAAGAAAGCCAAAAAGTTTACTACTTAAGACTATTCATTAAGAGCAACAAAGTATGATAATAACATACAGATAATCCACAGTATTTTCCTGGTCAAGTGGACAAATCATTAAATTAAAATGGGTCTAGTCCAGGCTTCACCAGTGACACCCTAAGAGACTTTAGCCAAACCAACCAGTCTTTCTTGTACCTCAGTGTTCCCAATGGTACAACAGTGTAATACTTGCTCTACAACTCTGTCAGTTTACAGTGAATTATAATGCTCTGAAAAGAGTGCACTTATTTTTAAGTGGTCCTATGACCTATAATAAAACATCTTGACAGAAACACAACCTTTGTTTTAGTATTACTTTTATGTGAAAGATAGAAGCCTCAGAGAAAATAGAATATTCTACAAAATTTAGATTGTTATCTACTATGATCTTCTTCCAATTACAAGCTATCCCAGAGAATATAAAACAATTGTTTTAAGAAGTATTTTTGTTATTACTATTATTGTTAACCTTCCCTTGTAGTAACATTTCAACAGCAAAACAGTACTTATTACTTTAAACATGTTACCATCTTATACTATGCAACCCAGAAATTGTTAGAAAACTTTGTACCTAAATGTCTTTTTAGCACACTTAAACAATTAACATTATTTTCATTAAATATGATGAAAAAATCCAATGAAACATCTCTCAGTCACAGGTATAATGCAAATGTAAATATCAAGTAGACTATAAAATTACAGTTGGTGAAATAATATTAACTATATTCTGATTTAGAACTATAAGTGTTATTTAGTAAAAGAAAACTGTGATTTCAAAACAAGTAGACTTATGCTGTCCTGAAATAAAATACAGTTTGTAAAGATTCTTGGGTTAAGATTCTTGAACTGCTTGCAAAAAAAGTTGTTTTTTTTTTAACATGATAAGACAAAAAGTGAAAGTTCAGATTTACTGTGATAATCCACACAACTATGATGGCACTGCTAGAAAGGCTTATAATTTACCTGCCAATCTCAATTGAAAACAAGTAAATCACCACATTATTTTCTTTGCTTACCATTTTGGGAAAAACTATTATGATGACTTATTTTACAATCTTAAAACTATTTTTAAAACGTAGCTGTCCACTAAAATTTGTCTATATATTTAAAAAAAAAGAATCCAAAAGACTCCAGGTACTTAAAACCTTGAATTTAATAGATTTATGTAAATAACAAAATACTGCAAGTCCCTGACCTCAAGTGTGACCTTTGTCAATCAAGAGACTCTCTGGTTTATACCTCTATGTGACAAAAGAATCACTCTTATTTGGAAAAGCATTTATTCCAGATATGGAATAAAGAAAAAAAAGTATTTGTTACCACTGTTCAAACACTTGTACAAGCACTACAAAAGTGAATACTTGAAATTTCAAATGAATGAAGTTTCACCACATCTGGAAACATTTTCATTACAAATGAGTATTATTGCTAATACTTTCTTCATGCTCTACAAGTTATTCCTTTTTGTTATAAGGTTATGGAATATAACAAACAAATGGTAATGATACCAAATGATTTAGGACAGTATTTCAAATGTTACATCGTATCTGACATAACACTATGGCTGACTGCTTCAGTGTTTTGTTAAACGTTGTACTTTGTAGAGTAATAAAACCCTCAATAAGGTTATTTTCTGAAATATAGTTATATATAGAAGACAACATAAGATAATGGACCTGTAGACTATTTAGCTATTATAAAAAGTCTGAAAGAGGAAGTAATATAAGTAGAATAAAAACAAAGCAAACAATCTCTCCCTAACCCCCCACAAACTCTGGACTGAAACTTTCACAGAACATAATAATATTTCTTCCTAGCAGCATTTTATGAAATAAGTTATTCATGAAAAGGGTGTATATATAAAAGAAGAGAAATGTTCATTATTTCACACTTCACTTTGAATGTATAAAATGCCAATGACAGCTTATGTGCTAAAAATATATCATTCTTAAATTTGTAATCCTAAAATAAAGTTGCTTTATTTACTATAAGGCCTTAAGCTTAAAAAAAATTTTTATAACAACCATAGTGTGCACATTAAGAAATATCTGGAAGTTTTCAGATATCCTAATTTTATATTTCTTTTCTACATACAAAAAGAAAAACCGAATTTCAATGTAAACACTTGTATGTCACAAGTTTACTATCCAACATAGCAATCACCAAAGAGTCATTTCAAAATACTAAATATTGGGATTGAAAATAATGAAGTCACTTTTTTTAAATCAAATACAACTGAATTATGCAGATGTGACTTAAAGCCCATTTTTAAAAATGAAAATAAATTTCAGAGGCTCTTATACGTGAATTTAACATTTCTTTTAAAGCAAAGAACTTCTTATAATATAAAAGGATGATCTGAGAGCTTCTAATATATCATTTATTTATGTATGTTAAAGCTCACCTTTTATAATATTTTCAAGTCACTTTAATAATTAAGTACCCATAATAATACTTACCAAATTTATGCTTCCAGTAGGAGACCCATTAAAAGACTCTGTGGGAGGGGAAATTCAACTTAGTACACAGTAAAAAACTTGAAAAAATTGTTTTATCTAAAGTTCAAACACCAAGAATGAAAGTCACCCAAGCAAAGACGTAATAAAACAGCAAAGGAAATTGTAGTATACTACTCCCAAACACCTGCTGCTCCCTTAAGCCTCATGGTTTTGCAAGCCATATATTTCAGAGAAAATATAAATGTACCTGAGTTGCCCCCCCCCACAAAACACACACCAAAAATAGGTGTTCGTGTACAGGAGAGCAATTATTAAATATTTTATCTTTATTGTATCATATGAAGTTGTCTGATAAAAAGTAAACATGAGGAAAACACTGCAGAGTGAAGTTCATTAGGAAATGTCACAAGTTTTTTGTTAGTTCTGTCTCACTGGATTAAGAAATAGTATAAATAAAATTTTTCTTTCATGTGAAGAATAAATAGATCGGTTTGTATACGTAATATACCTATTATGTCCACTTACTCTTGGTAGATTTGGCCCAAAAATATCACAACCCTAGATCCTTAAATCAATATATAATAGAACAAGATATGTAAAACTCCATATGCACTGCCATTTACTTAAAAAACAACTAAATTATTTTTAAAAAGTAATGTTAGAGAGCTAAGTCAATCATACATTATAAAATTAATGTCTTTTCCTTCAGTGTTCTATTTTATATCTGAGCACACAAAGTTACCAATTAAGATGCCCCTCTGTTAAAAACAGAAATGAATATATGGTGAAGCAGTATTCTTATACAGTTTAAGGTTAATGTATGGCTTCCAGCACTTGAGATTATTTACGAATCTGGGTATCTAAATGGGTCTTCAAAACCAATTTCTAGGGGCACCTGGGTGGCTCAGTCGTTAAGCGTCTGCCTCCGGCTCAGGTCATGATCCCAGGGTCCTGGGATCGAGCCCCACATCAGGCTCCCTGCTCCGCGGGAAGCGTGCTTCTCCCTCTCCCACTCCTCCTGCTTGTGTTCTCTCTCTCTGATAGATAGATAGATAGATAGATAGATAGATAGATAGATAGATAGATAGATAGATAAAACCAATTTCTATTACTTTTAGAAAGAAGCAGTTGGTGTTGCTTTCCAGCTTTAACAATTCTAAATGCCCAAGAACATTTCTTGGTTCCTCAGACCTATGGTCACAAAAAGTAAACAGGAAATTCCACCTAGGATTACCCCTTGGTTAATAGCAAGGTGATAATTAAAATGAGCAAACAGTTCTCTATCCTCCTTATTCAATTATATACCTCCTACTTCCTTCTGTGGTCTGCCCACCTCTTAAATCAAGTTAAAAGAGCAATCAGAAGGAAAACAAGATGTAATTTACTTTTTTTTTTTTAAGATTTTATTTATTTATTTGACAGAGAGAGATACAGTGAGAGAAGGAACACAAACAGGGGGAGTGGGAGAGGGAGAAACAGGCTTCCCGCCAAGCAGGGAGCCCGATGTGGGGCTCGATCCCAGGACCCTGGGACCATGACCTGAGCCGAAGGCAGACGCTTAACGACTGAGCCACCCAGGCGCCCCAAGATGTAATTTACTTTTGTGATCAACAATAAGAAGATACAGAAATAGAGTCTAAAATCAATCTAGGCCCACATTTAGTCAAGAATTTGATAACTGCCTATAAACATTAGAAAACAAAAGAAAGTATGATTTGATATGGTGAGAAAAATAATGTGATTAAAATTAAAACAGAAAGCATTATTTAAATATTTTTTAAAAGACTGTGTGACCATGTTTTAATGGAGAAATACCAACTTTAAAAATATTTTAAGGCTGAACTAACTAAAAAAAGCAATCACAAATAGAAAGAAGGAAAAAAGGGGAGGAGAGAGCACACACATAATTACAAAAGCCATTCAGCTACTACCTACCTACTGAAGTTTGATTAAATAGGAATGAAATTTCTTTCCCAGAAGGTAAAAAGCAAAACAAAACACTAAAGGATACTATCACACATGATAAGACTTGGCCCATTCATTTTAGGCTCAAATGTAGCCTGCATTTTTTTTTTTTAATCATCTATACAGTTAAAAACTAGATTAGACAATTATTTCAAAATGTCTAAAAAATAAAACGTCAAGAATCTTATTTTTATTTTATTATTTTATTTTATTTTATTTGAGAGAGAGAGAAAACGAGCTGGTGGGGAGGAGCAGAGGGAAAAGGAGAAGCAGGCTCTCCACTGAGCAGGGAGCCCGACACAGGGCTTAATCCCAGGAACCTTAATTTTAAAAATCAAAAATGAATTTATAACAAAAAATGTGGGGAAGGTCTATTTTTGATTAAACAATCAAAATTCATAAGCATCACTATTGAAAAAGTCCTAGCAATTGCCTAAAACCTAAACACAGGCAAAGACAATAAACCTGACAGCTGTTTTTAACAATAATGCTTCATATTTATACCCATCATTCTACATACTTTTTTCAAATGGTTTCAAGGGGTTAGACAATTTCTTAGTTATAAGATGTATAAAAGCTCACCAATAAGGACAAAGAATACTAAAAAGCAATGTCCTAGAAAGACAAAAGATATATTTATGTATATAATTTCAAACTTCAATTAATAATTCCAATGTGAAGAATGACTCAATGGCTGATATATGAGAAGTACATTTACTTCAGACCAAAACAAGTTGCAGAAAAAAATTTTTAATGTACTTCATGCTTTAAGTATGAAGTTTTGGGAAGTTTCAGATGGCTTATAAAAAAATTGGTTCCATTAGTTGCATACAAGACAACTAACTAGACTGCCTAGAAAGATATAAATAAAAGTTAAAGTCAATATACTAGACTTTAGAAGCGTTTTTACACTATTGGAACAAAAACTACTGCCACAGAATATAATGCTACTATCATTTTAAATTATAGATTACTTAGAAGCTCATACCATTAGCCGATTATGATTCAACTTATCTTTCTTTCATTCTGGGTCATATAGCAAATCCATAATACTAAGAAATCTCTAGAGTAGATGAAAGTAAAATAAACAAAAATACTTATATATTTATTTATATATATTTATATATACATTGCACTGCTACTTGCAAATTTCATAGCAGCTCTGTAAAAGATTTTTCAAGAGACAGTAAATACAGAGATAACTGTATAATAAACTTGAGTTACACTGATTTTTAC